AAAATACACAGGACTACTGTCCTTTTTACCAAAGGTCTTTCATTAACTAGTGTTGATGGAAGCAAATTTCACCACAGCAACTTGCATAGTAGTTGAGTTGCTATTTGTATGGAACAGCAAACCAGAGAATAATAAAAGAAAACACGAACACGTCAGTGGTGAGCAAGGGAGCAGAGCAGCCCTTCAGCTCTTTCCATGCTGATAAGAACAAACAACAAGATTGTTCATTATAATGAGGGATACTAATCACACTCAGTTATCACAGTATTAAGTCACTTCAACTATCTAGGGGTCTCACCTATACTCTCTCGTGTTTTGTCTGTTTGCAGTAGAGTGGTGCTTCTCAGCAATGCCCAGTAGCCATATTTCATCAGCACAGGTTAATAACCCTGTTCATCATTCCAAATGCATGTGCTTGAACAATGCACCTAACGAGTGAGCAGTGGCATACAACAATGGTGTAGGTGGAGTGAGCAATTTTGGGGATATAAGTTAAATATCAAACATAGAAAGGCAGTAGTTAAGGAGAACATGGATGTAAAATATGGATGGGCCAGAGGCAGTGGCTCACACCTGTAATCTCAGCACTTTGGGAGGCCAAGGCGGGCAGATCACTTGAGATCAGGAGTTCAAGACCAGTCCATCCAACATGGTGAAACCCCGTCTCTACTAAAAATATAAAAAGTAGCACAGCGTGCTGGCTGTGGTGCCTGCAATCCCAGCTACTCAGGAGGCTGAGACGGGAGAATCGCTTGAACTCAGGAGGTGGAGGTTGCAGTGAGCCGAGATTACGCCACTGCACTCCAGCTTGGGCATCAGAGGAGACACTGTCTGAAGAAAGAAAAAAAAAAAAAAAGTCATGGACGCCCTGATTGTTGACTTGATGTCAGAGAACTTTTAAAGCAGGTCAGAAGAATACAGACAAGTGTGTATTTTATTTTTAAGTCAGTATGAAGAAGGGTGCAATTAAGTATTGAGAGGTACAAATGCGAGCATGATTAAACAGAGCAGGATGATAGGAGAGCAAAGCTCTAGAAGTGGCTTTGTACTAACTAGGTGATCTCAGCCAAACCACCTGCATTTCTTTGAGTCTCATGTCTTCATATATTTGTTGTAGGATGAAACATTTTAAGGTGGACTAGAAAGTTCTTCTCAACTCTTAAGTTCTCTAGGTTTCTGAATAGAGATAAGAAGGTTCAATACAACCACATCCCTGGAGACTTTAAAAAATGGCAGTAATCCAACAAAAGCTAATTTAAGAAAAAGAATAGAAGAAGAATTATGTATTGAAAGTCCAGGAGGTTTGTGGGCTTCAGTCAAGGGTGGATGTAGTCCTCAAGCAATTCTGTTTCTTGGCTCTTATTTCTTCTTTGCCGGCCTCGTTGCTTAATAAGTTTCTTCAACAAGTAGAAAATACAGACTTCGAAACGCCAGGGTAATATAAGCTGTGGCTTCAGAAGGAAAAAATTTCTCTCCTGGTATCCATATTAATCCTCTAATAGGACACCTCTTGTGTTGCTTAGCTCATATGTTCAGGGGGATAAGATGCTCTGACTTGCTAGCCTGGGCCATGACCTACAGCAGGAAAGGTTAGTTAGGCCTCTTGACCAAAAGTTTCATGGAAATCACATGGAAAAGAAGAACAGGAGTTCTCAAAGGAAAGATATGTGGCACAAAGGGGAAAAAAAAAAAAAAAACCCCAAAACAGATGTCTGCTTATACCGTTTATACAAGATGGCCAGTCAGGGAGAATATTTATTTAAAATTTAAAATGTATATATTTAAAATGCCAATTCTAGGAATTCTTTGGTTGTTTTTATTCAGCTATCCCAAATCAAGCATTGTCATTGGCATCAGATTTGTCGGAAGAGTAGTATGACCCGTATGTATTTGGAGAAAACTGAGAACATAATTTTTAAGTTCCTATAATTTTATGAAGTTCTGTGAGTAGACTGGACTTCTTTCCATCTATATTTTATCAGATGAGTAAGTTGTGTTTGGCTGCATAAAAGATCTGATACTCATTATTGATCCAGTAAGTTTTATCTAAGGTGTTTGGAGTTGCCATACTAAGTTGACTCTGGAGGAACAAGATCAGTTTTCTTTTGTAATTGATGAACCCCACTATGTATTACTCCAGTTACACTAAACCATTAAACCATGTAATTCATTACAAAGGGCCCAGCTCTGAGAACCTCCTAATATCCAGAAATAATGGAGCTAAGTAGCCACATCCTCATAGGAACACAGCAGTGATCTTATATCTCACAAATATTGAAGAGAGTTGGGGTAAGG